CCGTGGAACACCCTCAACCTTCCGCCTGCCTCCTCACACCGCCTCGCCCTCCGCGTGTTCACGCGCACCCAGCCACCCCGCAACTGCGGGCACTCAGTAGCCCCACCGCAACTGCGGCCCATACGGCTTCGGGCCTCAGACGAACAGACTGGGGATTTGGAGCTCGAGGTAATCCAGAGCCGCTTGCTTGCGCTGGTGCTGCGTCATGCCCTCCCACTCGTAGTCGTAGCCCTTCACCGACTGCGCCGACAGCCACTTCTTCTTTGTAAGTTTCTTCACCTCCATCTCGATCCTTTTGCCCTTGTTGGCACACTCTCGCGTGATGGTCGCGACCCAAGCGCCCTTGAAGTCCCAAACGACGGTGAAGCCAGAGCCGCTCCCCTGCGCCACGAGGGGGTCGACCTCCTTTTGCTTCGCCGGCGGGGTGGCAGGGTCAACCGCCGTAGCCCAGTCCCTGTCCGCCACTGCGGCCTCGTCCTTGTCGCCGTCGCCGATGTCGGGGACACCGCCGAGGCTCACGTCGTCCACGATCATGTCAATCAGCCACCCAAGGTCTGCAGCGTCCAGCCACAACGTCCTCCGCTTGAAGCTGGCCACCCGCACGTTTCGAACGGCCGTGTCGTGCGGAAACTTCATGGGGCTCTTTGCGGGCATCTGTACAGAGCGCACAGTGGCTATGGCCGACTCCACGGCCTCGCCCCTGGGCAGGCCAGTAGTCGCCGAACGCGTTCCAGTCTTCTGCTTCTTGGCGCTGGTCGGGGTCGCTGCCTGCTTCTTCGTGGCGTCCGTGGGGCTGACCAGGGCCGACATGGGGTCATCTGCTTCGTCCCCCGCGTCGCCGTCGCTCTCATCGTCCGCAACTGCGGCGCCGCCCTGCTTCGCGTCTTCTTTCTTCAGCGCGTCCCAGGCCTTGGAGGCCTTCAAGGCCCCTGCGGTCGGTTTACCTTTGGCGCACACCTTGAGCAGCCAAGGCTTTTGCATGTTCACGTGCACGAAAGTTATCTCTCCGAGGGGCCATGCGTGGAGCACCTTGACAACCTTTTCGGGGACGGGGGTGGTCTGCGCAAGCCAACCTCCACGGATGCACAAGACCTTCTCAACGCACACAGGGCTCCATTCGCTCGAAGTCGGCATGTGTGCTACTGCGCTGGACACAGCCGCAACTGCGGGCAAGGCGGGGGTGCGGGCAGTGGGGCCGCGCGCGGTTGAGCCAGATGGCGAGCTCAACGCCTCCCTGGAGGGCCTCCCTCGGCCCCTGCGA